GCAAAGAGGATTCAACATGATTCTGCCATCACTGTTCTTCAAAGTGGGGGTCAGATTGGGAAAGTTGTGTTTGTGGTGATGTGTCCACCAACTACAACGTCGCGTCTGATGGCCAAAAATCTTCATTTTGGTGTCATCAGAGCAGAAAACTGTCTTTTATTTGACCACAGAGTCTTTGTATGAGTCTTCTTCAACACTGACTGCTGTAAATCTAAATCTAAATCTACATTTAGGCTCATTTTTCCATGCATTACTTGTTTTCTGCAGCCTCTAGATTCTGAAGCTTGTGAGGATGACCTGATCTAGGCAGATTTACTCATGGTCCATATTTCCTTTTCTTGATGGTGTATTTAACAGATCTCCAGAAGATATTCTGTGCATTAGAGATCTTTTTTTTTTGTTTCCATCCCGTGACTTATACTTCTCAGTATCCTCTTCTCTGATTTGCTGGAGTTTTCTTTAGTGTCCATATTGCAATGATAGACCGCAATACTTGTTAAGCATTAAATTGACCTTCCAGACACGAGTGTCTTTATTCGACAGTCACTTGAGACGCAATCACTGCATTTAGGTGATCTCCATTCCACTACTTGTGAGACTATCACCGATTAGTTGGTCCTCTGTTGAATTAGATCATTTAAAGGGGGTGAACATTTATGCAATCGTATTGCATATTTTTGTCATTTGTAAAAATCAGTTTTGACTTTTGACAATATAGTGGAAGAATTGTCTGACACTTTTGTAAAAGCAGCAAAAGGGTAAAATGTCCAAGTTGGTGAATACGTTTTATGCCCACTGTATTCTACTCTCATTTTTTGTAAAGAAATGTAGATAGTTGACTCATAGGCTAACTAATTAGATAACTAGAGTAAATTATACTAAATAATATTACCCTAATGTCACCGTATTAGGAGCATTGACATTCTAAAAGTTAACCTGCCATTAGAATGTCTTAAATTTTACAGACTGATCATCCATTGCAAACCATGCAAGGAGGAAAAAAAGGGCTCTGGAACAGTTTTAGTGAGCGACGAATATGCAGCGATGGGGCCATTACTACGGCTGTTCTGTATTCTGGATGATGCATGTGCTGTGACAGATTGCTCCATGTCACAGCCCCTGGGGAAGCTGTGTTGCTCCCCAGTTCCAACTGACCACAGTGAAATCTCATTGGGCTTTCTGTGGGGATTATAAAGAGTCTCCTGATGCTGCGCTGGAGTTTGCATTATTGAGTTTCATTAACACCAGGAATAAACAGCAAATTGTTAAGAGGACAACATAGTATACTGCTGAACTGCTTGCTGAACTTGAGCCTGTATTTGCTTAATAGTCTTAAGGGAACCCAAAAAAAGAATTAAATATTTAAATTTCGAAATGATCATTATTTACAAATAGTTATTTCCAACGCCTTCTGTTTTAATTGTCCCCTTTACTTGCACATTTCTTTATAAAATATCACTGTCCTATTTTGCTTGTTAGGCATTCTTTGTTCATTTATTTTCTTTACTTTATGAATAAATAACGAATACCACAGGCGGACTGCGGCAAAAAACAATTAATTTACAGCGTAGCTCACAACCATCTGCAGATGAATGGGTTGAATGTAGTGTAAAGCAACTATGCAAGTACATACACAGACTATGTACCATTTCACTCGGGTGTCCTAGTTCAAGTCTACTCTGCATCCCCAGAATCAGAACCAAACATGGAGAAGCGCCAGTATTTTTTATGTTCTTTTAACCAAAAAACCTTCAAAAATGCTAAAAACTCAGAGATCCTTTAAATTAGGGATGTCCAACATCGGTCCTTAAGGGCTGGTATTCTGCCTGGTTTAATTTGCTCCCTGGTTCAACACACCTGGATTAAACGACGGCTCATGAGCAGACCTCTGCACAACATTGACATGCTGAAGAGGTAGTAACTACCACCAGTATGTATAATAAATTTTCTCTCTTACGAACCCACGAAGCAGACTGTGGACTTTTAAAGTAACAGAAGTGACATTTAAATTTCTACCTCTTATTTCAGAGGATTACCTCCAAAGTGTTATGGTTTTTCTCTGACATTTACTGATGTACTGTATGCTTTCAAATAAGCTTACATTCATTTTTCCATGAATTACTTTTATTTGAACCTCATTAACATAAACAGCTCTCCAGTCACTTTTAAAGCAAGCCCAGAAGTTGGTTTTGTAACAAATATTGAAACTCACTCCCATCTCCATGGAAATTTAATTATAATCTGTCACGACTTTTACATAATGTGTTTTGAGTCAGACTGTACAGCTCCTGAGGGCACCTTTACACACCTCGCCTTGCATTGTGAGAAACAAAGAAAGAGTCTTCACAACATCGCAACTTTCAAGTTTAATCAAAAATGAAATTGTCAAAGAATTAAAAGAAGCACAGCAGTTTGGAGATTTCAGATGAGAATTGATTTGTTGGACTTCACCACAGGATAGTGGCTTATATTTAGCTGAAATCCTCTAAAAATATATTTTCATCAAACATTATAGGGAAAACCACAATTTCCCAGGTCTGGGAATGCAAATAGAGGTGTTTTTTTTTTTTCTTCTGCTTCTTCTGTTCTTATTTCCTTATCACATCTGAGAATTCCTGCCCAAATCTGCTATCACATCATCTTGTTGCCCTCCAGCAAGAAATAGCGAAGATTTTCTGGCCCAATTTTGATCAGGAAATAAATGTAGGGATTCTTTCACATCAGTTCACAACCACACAAGGTCACACACACACACACACACACAGAAAAACACACAAAGCTTTCTGCCAAGGTATACTTCCTGGATTGCGGTTTGGTGCCATTGCTACTCTTGGCACTGAGACTGGGCCAGGCAATTCCACGCTGCCCACAGGCTTTTGCAAACACAAACATAAACGCACTCACTGACTTCCCATCCAATGTTTTCTGCTCTGTACTATGTTGTAAAAGCCCGTCTGTCTCTGCTGAGAGGGGAAAATAAATGTACAGCATGATCATGAGAAAGACAGTAAAGAAGATTTATGTCACTATGAGGAACATGCAACTGAGGCGTAAGGGAAATGCAACGGTGACATATGGGTGTTTGACACTTCTCCTAGTTATTCTGTATGTAACAGCCCCCACCCCCCCAGAAGAAATGTAGATAAAATGAGTATGAAGGCAAAAGGTACGCACAAAAAAGAAAAAAAAAGCACTGCTATACATTATCATGGTGATTTCTCTGGCGGATTACACCAGCAAAAATGTTCAGTAAAATTGGATCTGAACTGTTTACTTCCTGGGACGCAGAGGAAAACGTTAACAAAGGGAAGAATCGGGATGGTTTAATCAAACACTGATTGTTTCTGCAGTCGTGAGGGTTAGATTTTTGCAAGTGTTTGACAGATCACAGAATGATGAATTCCAGCTCTGTGGGGAAATAAGGCCAGTGCGGTGGCTGTTGTGCCTCAGGCAGCAGTGCATGAAACATCTAATGACACTTTACGCATCTTTCATATTTTATCACAGATAATAAAACCATAACTTCTTTAAACATCTGATGTCTTAAGGTTCTTATTTTAATAGCCCTGGCTTATCAAGCTCATCGGCGTAATGCAGCAGCAAATAGATGGGAAGTACCATTGAACAACCAAAATGGTTGAAATAATTGATGTATATGCTTTTATACATACATATTTCTTATTGAATATATTAATAGTCGTATTAAATGTCATATCTTGGGACACTATTTAGACATTGCAGGAGTTTAACAGTTACAGAAATATGTACACTTGCACTTGAGTTTGCAAAAAAACTTAATCTCTTTGTATCCAAGTTACCCTTTTATTTATTTATTTAGTTTGCTTTTAAGACTCCTAAATCCATGAGCTTTCATCTTTGGCCCTAACAAAACAAAAACAATTGAAATACCCTTAGGCAAATAAGGCTAGGGCTAAAAATGAGGGGTAGCGGTGATATGGGTTTCAGTCTGAATCATGGCAATAGCTTCAACAGGTCAGAAATGCCTTTGCTACCAGCCACCTTCTGCTGGCTCAGATGCAGTTAAGCAGATTAGCCTCAACAATAAAACTAACTGCTCATCGTGTAGGTGTTCTTCACGCTGCCAAAAGAGCTCTGACTCATCAGAGCATGCTCAAATACTAAGTGGAGGTGTCCTCTGGTGTCTGCTAACCGGACATTACAAAGCATTCCTTTGGGTGTTATGGGTTGCTTTTGTTTGTATAGTTTGCTTCCCATTCAGCTTCATCTAGCAGTGCAATGGTTCCCAAACCTGATCCTCATGTATCCCTGCCCTTCATATTTTACACGTGACTCTGTTCCAGCACACCTGATTCGAATAATTGCATGACCTCCTCCAAATGCTGCAGAAGCCTGTTAATCACCCACTCATTAAGGTCAAGTGTTTGGAAGCAAGGGACTAGGTTTGAGAAGTAATGATATAGAGTGTTGGGAGATTTTCTTTTTTTTTCTTTTTTTTTTTCTTTTTTTTAACCATTACTAAGCAGCATTTGCAGAGCCCATTACTACCATGAGGGGTGATTTCAGGGAGTTAGTCATTTAATGAGATGACAAGAGTCAAAGATACGTCAATGCAAATGCTCTTGGCTTTTTCAGCACTACATTTTCTTATAACAAGATGGTAATTACTTGTCTAAGGTTTAAATTCTAAGCTTCATCAATATAAACTGAGCTCTTTGTTTACCTAAAACAAGCACTGCAGTATTGATGTTACAAGCATGTATATATATATTTTTGTAAATTAATGATTAATGATTCGGTCGTATGGAAATGCGATTCAAACTTAAGAACCCAACACATTTGTTTAATTTACATTGGTTGTAAATAAATGCTCATTTTATTTTCCTGCTGTCTTTAATATGACATGAACGTGCAAGGTGTCTATTTGTAGATGCACCGTTTTAAACATTCTTCTTCCCTACAGCATGTATGATGGTTCAATCATCTCACTGACATCATCTTTTTGCCTTTGTCTTCTGCAGGATGATTCCGTCCACCACCAATGATTTTCTTGTCCGGGACCTTGCTGCAGGACGCAGCTACGATCTCTGTGTCCTGGCTGTGTTTGATGACGTCATCACATCGCTGACTGCAACGCGACCTTTGGGCTGCCTCTCATTCACTACAGACACTGAGTTCAGTCAGTGTCAAGCACTTCATAGCCACTTCTTGGGTGGCACTATGATCATCATCATTGGAGGAATTATAGTTGCGTCTGTGCTGGTTTTCATCATTATTTTAATGATCCGATACAAGGTTTACAGTCATCAAGGCACTGGCCATGGGAAAGCAACCATTGCAGGGACAGCGCCAAGGCCACAGAGCAACGGACAAGGAGGCAGCCAGGTTCAAGTCCTTCCTCACTCTGCCTCAAAGATGACAGACAGTCAGGACGAACAGGTGCTGCTGCCATCTAGGGCTATGTCACCTAGCAACACTACGAAAGACACTGTGGCATTGGTCGAGGAGGAGAGAAGCGAACTGTGCGTCATGGCAAAGACGGACTCCTTGGCTAATGAGGAGTTGCTCTCCCCAACCAAGGCCCGCTTCTCTTCCAGGGTTTCCGTTGAGATGAAAATCAGACCACCATCTGTCACCAAAGATCCCTCATCTCCCATGGAACTAGCAGGTAGTAGAACCATGGAAAGACAGAAAGATAAAACTAAACAGACATAGAAAGTACCAGCCAGCAGAGCATAGAAGAAAGTGCTTTAAAGGAGTGGAAGAAAAAAAATGAAGTTGACAGAGTAAAGGTGGGTGGGAAAATACAAAGAGGGGACACAAATAACGTCAAACAGAGAGCGATGTGGGAAGACAAATAGACAATGTGCAATTCAGAGAGTGAAATTGAGCAAGATAATAACAGAGAAAAACGTGAGAAACTGGGTGAGTGTGTGCGAGAATGGAAATGAGAGACACACTTCTTGTGCACGTGGTAAATATGAGACAGAAGGTGAGACGACCTTTTGTCTTTAGTGCTACAGTCGGATCTCAAGTCCTACTTAACACATTCTCTTTGAAATACCTCTCTATGCAAGAAAGATTAACTTTACACTTATAGTTAATCTCATTACAGAAAAAGATCCATTATGAGTCTTCTCCAAGCTTTGTGGTCTCTGTTTTGCTAACTTGCTTTCTGGATTTTGTTATATATCCTTAAGCTGCTTACATGCATCACATTGTTGAATTTACTTCACTTACCCAAGTTACATATATGTGATAATGTGATGTTTTTGCCACAGGCATTACTTGGCAGTTTGTCAGACAATACTAATACTATAGTCAGATGAAGCAGAAATTACTGAATGAGTCAGAAAGAAAGAGGGACAAAAGCAAAAGTCAGCCTTTCAGACAACGCATTTTAGGACAGGATTTAAATGCTTTCGGACTGTCTCTATGTGATTGTCCAAAGAAAATAGGGGCTAAAATCAGCCTTCCTTGGTCACATCTCCAAGCCAACACACATGGTAGTGACAACAGGTACACTTGTTCAGTTGTTTCCAAACACAAATGGGAAAACAGCCACTCTCAGAGCAGCAACTCAACACATTTGTTCACCAGAATTTGGCAAAGACAACCTGCTGAAGTTCAGACCTGACATAGAGAGACGACTTAAGTGACATTAAACATGCATGGTAGTTTGAATATTACAAAATGCTGATCCACTGAGATTTACATGCACAATCTCTCAGAAGGATTTCTACACGATTGGTCCGACAAAGTCAAATTATCCAGTAAGTTGCAAAGGTGTTGGCCAGGAGTCTTTTATCAATGCCAAAGATCAGAAAATAATGCTCACCAAAAACTACAGAATAACAGGCTTGACCAACACTGACGGGTCTCACAGTCTCTGATTATTGTTGCTGACCGTGGTCACAATTTAACAACCATAATCTTACCACAAATAGACAATGTGCAATTGTCTATTTGACTATTTTCTAGTCAGTAAGGCTAGACAGGGTAATGCACCATGTCATAAAACTGAGCTCACAATGAACATGGCAAATAAATCCAGTTTCCAAAGTCCAGTTCAGTAGAGAACCTCTGAGATCTTTTGGAACAGAACATTTATATTATGGACAGTAAACTAACAAATCTGCATACAAAAATAATTTAGACAGACCAATTAACCTGACAGTCATGTTTTTGGACTGTGGAAGGAAGCCAGAGTACCCAGAGAGAACCCACACATGCACAGGGAGAACATGCAAACTGCATGCAGAAGGACCCTGGGCCCGGAATCGAACCCAGAACCTTCTTGCTGCAAGGCAACAGCTCTATCAATTGCACCACTGTGCAGCCACCTGGTCATAGAACCAAAAAAGTTAAATCAAAATAAAGCAATCTAAAGCTATCAGGATTTTCTTTCATGTGATGTTGCAAAAACTTACAAACCTTTAGACGATACCCTAGTCATGACCCCTTTTACTTCTATCAGTCTTCCATGTGTACTTTAGCCATTCTCAATAGAGTAGCTGGGTTGCTAGGATTTGAAAATAGGTTTGTAAAAATTACTAGGATCCAATTCTGCTTTTGAAGACCGGTGTCCTTCATGTCTTTCAAGTGTCCCCGGGCTCGGCTAGTTTCAATAATCTAAATAGGATATACTGGAAAATTAAATTGAATATATTGTATTTTGAAAATCCTCTTTTTTGTAAACTTTCAGAATTAGCTTGCTTTGGGAATTGTTCAACTTTTCAGGAAACCAGATACAGTTGAATATAACGGTAGCTTGACAGCATTTAAAAGAAAACAGTTTGTTTTGGACATGTATTGCAAAAATGGAAACCACAAAAACCTTCAGTTAAATTACACAGCACTGTTTGTCAGAGTTTGTATCTACTGATTTATAATTGAAATTCTGAGATAAAAAAATGTAACTAGAAAAATACACAAAAGATTCATATGACCTTGGACAGTGGGACCATGATAGATAAAGAAAACATGCCTCTCTGGCACCTATAAATGTGCTATTACCACAAACAAATTGAAGATGGTTCAGTTATTGTGGATGTCAACACAATACTCAGAATAATAGCGATCCAGTCTGCTCTTCACTCATAAAAGCTTGATACACACAAAGTGATATAGTTCATGTTTTTATTTCTGGTAATTTACTGTTACTGAAAAACAAAATTTTATATTACAAAAAAAATAAGATGAGTAAGGGTGACTTTTAATAAATAAATGTTGTGCTTTGACCATGTTGTGGCATGTGTAATAATGTGGAAGACAGTTGACAGTTGTTTAGCAGTCATTGACAACCACCACAAAAAGAACAAGACGCAAAACATATTTGCTAAAGGCAGTGGTCATTCACAGAGTTCTGCATCCAAGTTTATTACTGAAAGTTGAGTGGAAGGAAAAAATGTTGCTGAAAAAGTGCAGTTTACAGCAGGAATAGCCTCAACCTTAAGAGAACTTTGAAAGAAAGAACTTTTAAGAGTTTGGTGGAGATTCACAATCCAGGTTATAGGCTATAACTGTTGCATTTTCTATGTTAAGGCAATCTTGAATCAGAAACAGCATCAGACAAACAGCAAATCATGATCATAATGCATTTTTTTTCTGTAGCAGACAACATTCTGAACTAACAGTTACTTATGTAATAATTTAATTGCAAGCAAAAACTGTTGGATGTAGCCTTTGTGTTACGTAATCAGGCCCACTTCCCTTGATTCTCACTGCTCAAGTGACCTCATATACTCTCAAAGTTCACTTGAAATGCTAACGAGTGTTATAATAATATAAATCCACATGAGCGTGTGAAATCTTTTTGGGGGCATATGCTCTGCGTACTAAACCTACACCAGAGCATTTCTCCCTCAACTCTAATCCTTTCAGGAAAGTGGGGGGTTTAATAGGATGAATAAATGGAGACACCTTTTCACATGAGTGGCTTAAACAGCTGAGTTGAAATACTTTATCAGTTGTTGATATGTCATTCAATTGGCCTCTGTGAATGAGTTTATGAGAGACGATACTGAGCCTCGAGGTGATAGCGGCAGGAGAACAAGAGATATGTGCGGCATGAAGAAGCTTAGCCCGAGGGTTCAGGGAAAGGTTTCACTGCTATGAATTTTGCTGATTTTGCAGTAGTTCCGCTGTATATTAAAACTCAATTAAATCCACTCAACAACGCAGTTGGTAAGCGTCATAGAAAGGTGGAATTACAAACATGTTTGACTCCCTCAGGTGTCAAAGAGACTACAGTGGAGAGTAAATGACTTTAAGGGTTTTTTTTTTTTGTTTTTTGTTTTTTTTTCACATTGGTGATGTGTGATTATGTACAAACACCAAAAACGCAATTGTTGCTCAGAGACTGAAGGCAAAAATAAAGTTGCAAATAAGAAAAGTCAGGACGACCCAATTATAGCTGGGAATTATAGGTTTTATTATAATTATTGATCTGAACTTAAATATTGCTCCTACTGGCTCTATTGACCTCTCCATTCTTTGATTTCCCCTAACTAAAAGAATTTCAAAAGTCAGAGAGACTCCAAAACAGGATAAACAGCAAAACCAATTAAAGTAGTTTTCATCTCGAGGCTTTAGTCTGGGACGGAAAGCGCTGGCCTTTTTTGTGGTCTTTGTTTCCTTCCTTTGATTCCAGCATCACTGGCACTTGGAGGGCAACCTACAGCGAGGGACAATACTCCTGCGGGTGAGCGCAGGCTCTTTGGGTTTCTCTGGGAGTGACTGTGTTTGTGATGTGTTACTCTGGTTGCTGCAATGCAGAGAATGGCAACATTGATCTGATCAGAGAAAGAGCTGCAGTGAGTCAGAGAGCCTGAGGAAAAGAACAATTGACAGATAAATAGAGACACCCATCTGTCAAACATACACATGCACACACACACACTCTTGAGCTACTTCCAAGAGTACTTTTACGTTTCTATGTATGAATATGAATTGTTACATCTGTTGGTCATGTGTTATTTTTAAAAGTCATGTCCAACCTACTGCTATCTCAGAAGAAAATGAAGAAATCTGTGTTCCTTATATTTGAAAAACCTTTTGTTTACATACAAGGAGATTCTAACGACTACCCTGATAAAACAAGTTAGCTATTTGATTGATATTGATCAGGCTTACCATTATGATCACCTGCCTGACAGTGTGTTGGTTTCTGCTTTGCTACCACATATCGAGGTACAAACGTCCCTTGGCCACTGATGGCATGCTGGGAAATCTGCACAAGATGTTTGCAGCAAATCTTTCAATTTACAAAGTGGGGCCTTCCTGGATCAACCTTGTTTGTCCAGCAAATCCCACAGATTCTGCATTGGATTAAGACCTGGGGAAATTGAAAGCCAAGTCAACACTTGGCTCCTTCAGTGGTGGTTAGGAGTCTGCATCGACGCAGCCACCTGATTAAGTTATAAAATAGAGGAAGCAAAGTGGAGTGAAAAATAAATAATTACCTGTTATGAAACCTCCATAACAGGAGGTTATGGAGGTTTCTGAGTATTAATATATTAACTAGAGAATTAGTTGTGTTATTAGTAGATTTGAATTAGTAGAAACGTTTGCCCTGTAGCCCCAAACCCAGCAAACTGTGACAAATTGTGTATTCTGACACCCTTAAGACCTACACTCATCTGTGTCGGCCCTTGTAAAATTGGCCCACATCCTTGAACATTTTGCTTGCTTAACATATCAGTTCTGAGGATAAATTGCCACCTTGCTGCCTCGTACATTTCAACCAACAACTGAACTGTTTTAGCTGACCGTGGTCATGTCATACTGCCTGATAGAGCAATTAACATGTTTGAATATGAATGGTATTGCACATTATTATTGTACCAACATTTGAATATCCAGAAGGGAAAGTGAATGCTGCTGTAACTAATATACAGACTTTTTAAGAGTAGTTGTAGATGCTGATGTGGGCAGGATCTTCTGTAGGAGCCAGTATTCCAAAATAGTCTTGAATGCTAAATGTTTTCTTTTGTTCACATTCATTCTAAAAGACTCTACCTCATCACATCAACTCAAAGACCACCTCCCTGAAGTCCCAGTCAAAGTGCAGGCTACAGACAAGATGTTTGTCTTGCATCAAAAGTTGAAATGTTATGGAAGAGAAAACTTTTCTTTGACAAAAAGTGCACTGACGGGAGGGTAAGGTATGACTCTGTAGTTGGTTGAGCTTGGAGGGCATGTGTGGGTATAAAATCAAAACGGATCACTACGGTTATTGATTACATTTAGATTTTTTTTTCTCCCATCAAGTCTGCTCGTAGGTCCAAATAATAAAACCATTTTAACTTCCTTGAGCCAATGCAGATGTTGCCACAAGGTTAGATGGTGTTGAAAAACAGCACAACACAAAGACGTGCAATTGTGTGTTCTTCCCCTGGCCCCTCCATGACCCTGTAGCCTGTCTGTTCTCCTTGTATTCTAATCTATCATCACTCCCCTCATTGTCATCCCATATGCCCGACCTCATTCTTCACTGCCACCTGTCTCTGTAAATTCTGCTCTCCCATTGCCAATGTCTTCTCCCCCTGCCTTCTTTCCAAAGCACTTGCCTCTGCTTTCTCTGCCTCCTCCTTTTCTGATTCTGACTTTTTTGATTTCCCCAACGTTCCCCCACATTTCTTTGCACTGTTTACTGGCATTCAAACCATTGTTTTTCACTGCTACTTGCTATTTATTTCAATGTCTCTGAGCTGTTTCCTTCTCCACTTCTCTTGTATCTCTCAATTTTTTGATGCCTCTAGTAGCAGATGGCAGAAGGCCTCACAGTGTCGAATGGAGAAACTTTAAGATCTGAAAGGTCTCTTGACCTCGGGAAGATAAGGCGCCAACATGACCCTCAAAGAGTAATGACCTTTGCACCATAGATTTCTTTTTTGTTTCCCCTACATTCCTATATTGCCCTCTGTTGTACCTCGTTCGCTGCTCCCACCCTGCACTTGAGGCCTCGTGTGCAGCTTGCTGCCATCCAACCCTTTTCCTTTTTTGTTTTAGTCAGGTCTGATTGGATCTTCTTTTCTTCTGGTTTTTCTATCCACCATTGCAAACCGCAGTCACAGCCTCCTTTAATTCACTGACATTGTGTGATGGATGACTAAACAGATGACGTTTGAGAATGACTGTGCTTCATTCACTTAAAAGAAATGAAACTGTGCCATAACTGGAACAGAAAAAATAATTCCCCTGACTCAGCACCTTACAAAGCAGTTTAAGGATGGTTTTCATAGTTTCCAGCACACATTTTTTATTCTTGTATTGATCTTACATAGGAGATGGCATCCTATAATTTTCATCAAACGAAACAAATTGTTCCTATTAAAAGTAAGAGTTTGATGACTTATAAAGAAATAAAGTAATTTTATAAAACCTAGCATGTACATTCAGTGCAACACACTCTTTGGCCTTTGAAAATGTAGACAGGAAGTCCTTTAACCCTTTAGAAATGGGGTCCAACCGACCCCACACACGTAAAGTCTGTATTATTTGCCTCAGTCCTCGCGCACACACAAGGGTTAAAATTGCTAACATTCAAAACACCGAATTGTCAGCTTTGTCTTTTTCAAATGTATTGCTTCAAGCAACGTTTGAGGAATTTAGCAGAGCAGGTGGAAAAGTAGTGTTGCTGTATTATCTTAGCTCAACTCAGTGACCTTTTTGCTCAAATTCCATTAAATAGACATAAACGGTGGGAAATAAATTAATTCTAGTATATAAACTCTTATTCTGTCCAAAATGTTGGTTTTCAGATCTTGCAGATTTTTATTACTTTCCGTGACTGCTGTTGTTTTACCCTGAACCTCTTGTTTTTCTTACCCCTGTTGAGACACAGTGTGATTTTTTTTTTTTTTTTTTGCATTTTAAAACAAATGCAGTGCTCTTACTTTGATTGTAACCTTCTGAGTTATACCATTCAACACTTTAAACATCTCCTTACAAGCCTTGTCTGACTCTCCTGTTTTCTAGAACCCTGAAGTTGCTCTTCTGGCAGATGTGGGAAAACAAACATCACCAGACAGAAGAAGGTGGTGAAAACTCTCAAGACGAAAAGGCCCTGAAAGCCCATCTCCCTGCATCTCCTGTTTCCTGCATCCATTTCTTTCTTTCTATGAATATCATGGTGTTAGAGACCTTTACAGTCCGACTTGCTTTCAAGTGCTTTTACTAGTTATCGCATCTGGATTGGACTACCGGTCAAGGCGTGGTGATGGTGGGATCATCAGAATTACTTGTACTCTAAGGGCATTTTTCGATCGGTATCGGCGGGGAAAAGTGGAACGCTGAGGGGGGAAAAAAATCAGCTGAAAAACAACACCGGCCTATGACAATTTTTAACAATAAAGTGGATAGTAAATGTGAAGTAACAACCACTATGAGGAGCAGCATCAGTACAGACTGAGTGGATGGTACAAATACACAGAAAATAAATTCATCATCATTAAACAGAACATGGATTTAATGGTAATCACACACTGGCAGGCTGTACATTTCAAGTCTGATGTTTTATACAAACACACCCTAACCTGACGCACATGGGACATATGCAGATGATGACTCTGTGAGGCTCCATTTTATTAATCGATACTGAATAACACAGTTCTGTTAAATGTTGATAAACTAAGCTGTTCCACTGGCTGCTGAGCTGGAAGTGGATCTGCACCGTGACTGGGCCACGCCATCTCCTAATTAGAATCCAACCTCTGGAAACGACAAAGTAGGCAGAAAACACAAACTGATCAAGACTCCTGTGGAGGAAACGGGACAAATCTGAACACACTGGAGCCAACTCTGGAAATCTATGTTGAATCAATAAGGGATGATCTGTGCTAGACTGCACAGTTCTGTGTGTTACTGCTCAAGTCCTGTATGCATCGTTTATCACTGGACGGGGTAAAGACCTTAAGGACTGTGATCGACTTCTCTCACATCTCTTCAGAAGCCTCTAAGCAGGTGAGTAGTGAATTGTTTATGCAAGTAACCTAACCAAAAGAGCAATCAGAGTATCCACATCGAAATAGCCAGCCCTAGTAATTAGCGTAACGTATGACACATCAGCACCCACCATGGGCATTCGCCAATATCGGGTTATTGTCCTACAGTTTTGAAAATATTTAGATTCTGCAGTCTCTCCTCTTTGTAAACTAATGAGGGCAACAGTTTAACAAACCTCTTTCTAATTGCTGTCAGCTAGGAAATTAGAGAACCTCCTCGGCTAAACAATCTGTTTCATTAGGATTTCCCGGCGACAATGTCACCACAGGCGACAGGAATTGCATCCCCTCTCCAGTCTGCTGCTTGCTCTGAGTGTCTAAGCAGCTCCATGCTCTCTTTCATTTCTCTGTCCGATTTCTTCTTTTATCCTGCCTACCTGAGGCAGGGATTGAACACTGGTGGAGAATTTAATATGCTGGAAGAAGATACGGTTTTAAGTAAAGTGCAGCCTAAAGGGGAGTCCTGTACAAGAGAGGGTCATTGATATCTATTTAGCCAGATTCAACAAAGGTGGGTGTCACGTTCTGCAGAATTCAGTGTCTGTTCTTTAGATTAGAGATATGCATTCACTTCCAATTTGAAATTACTTTAATTTTAGGTCATCAAAAGCGTATTCAGTCCTTTTCTTTTTTACTAGGTGGACTCCTCTTGATATTCATTAGACATTAAATCATAAATGCATATAAGTGTCCTTTTAGAAAATGAAAAACAAGTGAAATGTGAAGTGAGGTTTGAACGGCCCACACCTCTCCATTTTTCATCGAATTAAAGAACTTCTCTCAAACAATTTACAGTTGACAATTGCCAAATTGCCATGTTGTGTCACTAGCACCCCTGTAGTTTGAATGGATATTAATATAACAATTTCTGTATTCTCTGCTGAGCACAGAAAGGAAGTTTTTTTTTTCCAACTTACGATGTCCTCTTACCAGCTCATACTTTCATTCATCTAATACAGTTACTGAACATACAAATGCAAAGGTGTGTACAAGCAAGATGGCCTTACAAACCTGACAATGTGGCTGCAGTTCTGTCCGGAGGAACGGGCCAAAACACGAGTAAACTATTGTGAGAAATTTCTGGAAGGATACCAAAAAAGTTTAAACAAAATACTAAGAAATCGTAAACGGCTAGCTGGAAGTAATAAAAAACAATCTGGGAAAATTTACAAATCGTTTAAATAATCACAGCACAACTTTGATCTCTTTTAATGTTAGAAGTAAAACATGTTGTTTTTTTTTTCCTGTTCGGCTCCTTCAGATCACTGGTGAGCCGGGTTTGTTATTAGGAAAGCACCTGGGTGTTCTGGTGGGGATGGTGTTTTCCACACAGAAGTTCATAAAGTCAGAACTGAAAGAAGCTTGCTATATTTTGCAAGCAGTCTGATGAAGATGATGAATGACTGATAGGGGTCATCACTGACATTGTTCATTGCTGTGACCTCCCACAGGACATTCTACTCCTTTCAATCAGACGTGGGGTTTCATTCCATTAGGAGGTGTTGATCCCTTCTGACTGAAGTCAAGCATCCGTTCTCCAAAGCTGAATTTATGCAAGCTAATTTTGGCAAATTAACAGGGGCTTCCTGTTCTGTTTCTGGCTGGGTTACAGACTACACTCACGTGCCGCTGCTGCTGCAGTTTGCATGATATTTTGATCTTGCCGTTTAAAGTTAGTCCACTTGTTTAAATGTGCTTATTTGCAATCATTTTGTCTTTAAGCTTCCCATCACAAAAAAATGAATGATCTGATTATCACTTAACTAATGAAGTGTAAGCAGGCCCATGTTTTTTTTTTCTTTTGACAGCAGCCATCTGTGACCATTGTACAGATGCAAGTGCCGCTCCCCTGCTGCCACTTTGCTGTATTTAAAGATAAAATGCAAGAGCGAGATCTCAGTGCAGCCATACAAATTAATGGACCGTGCTGTGTGACTTCACTTTAAGATGCATGTCCCATCTGGTCACTGATGTGGCGTAGACACGACTGGATGTGGACGGGCACATATTAGTGCATTTGTATGAAAAGTGCTTGAGATTGCTGTCAAACACACTCATGTTAGAAATGACACTTTGTATCAACTTCAGTGACATATGGGGTACATTCATTTCAGTCGACTTTCTTACTGAGTGGTTATAAATGAGTTAGCAGTCAAAAATCAATCAATCCTGAATCAAATCAGGGGATGATGGATGTAGAGTCAGAAATCAAGAATTGCGTCTGTGTGAAGAGAAGAAATTAAATGTGAAACGAAAGGGAAGTGTCAAGGTCTGAAATCTGAGAAATGATCAGCAAGTAAAAGTAGCATAAAGAGCAGATGGAGTCTGAACACTCAGATATCTTTGTTCGAATGGTGGTAGATTATTACAAAATTTCTTTGAGCACAATGACACTTGTGCAGGTATTTAATTAAAACAATGATTTAAAAAAATCTTACTTTGAAAAACCAGATTGTTTGACTTTAACATACACATTGTTGGGTCATATCCTTTTTCGTTCCTAGTAAAATGACAGACCAAACATGCTCCAGCACCTGTGATTCCATGTATTTGTTTCTGTTCATTGCAGTTGTTCTGACTAGGCCATGCCTCAGCCTGCAACAATAGACCTGGCATTGAACTGAACTCTGTTTTCTAAAATTACTCTATTAGAAATATGTGCATAGGGAACAGTAACAGGGAGATAATTCAAAAAGAGGATTCTTGTTCAGTATGATTGCCAAGTTGTAAACCTAAAATTTGTATCTACTGTGTTTAAAACTACTGATTTTTTTTTTATTAATCATATGAGAACAGGCATATTGCTACAAAGCTATTTGTAAGTATAATAGTTAAAGGTTAAAAGGTGTATTAGAAGGTAAAAACCTTCCCCGTGTTCTATACTTTGTATCGTATAGAGGATCTGGATACTCAGATATTGAGAAATAATTCCGTCCTGGAGGCATGGACTCTGCTTAAGTTTAAAATTTTACCCAATTTTCTCAATTCCTAATGTTTGGCTGTGGCCAGTTTGACACTTTGAAGCTTACTGGAACTTGTGTGTAGCTTAAATAACCATATTTCATTATGAAAAAAGAAGTGCCGAGTTGAACAAGATGGACATCGATGTTAATTCAATATTTGGAGTAATGGGCGAGAAGGATAGAAGTCATTTCCTCTGCCGGCATTGCCAAAGTACAACCACAGCAGACTACAAATCTAAAACATTGCAGAAACTCGACATCATCACTCATAAGTCCTCCTTCTATTACAGCCACAGAAATCAAGCTCAATGGGAGAAATTCCAGACGGAGGGAGATGAGAACCGAGCAGGAAGGCAATGGCCATGCTTGTGTTGTGTATCCCAATCAGCATGAATTACGAGAAACAAAAAATAATAGTTTTTTCAGCATTTAGATAGGAAAGGTAAGGACTAAAATGGAAGGAGGTGGGATATGAAGAGAAGAAGTTCAAAGATGACAGGCAAGAGAAGATGAGGAGGAGAGGTGGAAGAAATAGGAACAGAGGGGGAAACAGAAGGAGAACAGTGAGTGGGATGCGTGGCGAATTGCTCAGTGTGTATCGAGCTTCAGCTGTATTGTGCTGTGAGGTGCCTTTGGTTCCTCTGAGAGAAAACATGGTACTATGAATAATAGATGACAATGGATGCACACATGGCATGTTTATTTTTGAAAGCGTTTATTTTGTGACCCTCTTTCCTCCTAAATGTCTAAAAAAGATCTTGCCAGCTCAGATAAACAGATATGCAGATAGATACAGTTTTTATGTTCCAATCTGTTGATGAGGTGGCGATGTAATGTGGGTTTGAACGATAGCAGACAGTTTTCTGGGTATTAACCCTTTGAGTGATTTATAATAAGATGCAACCCCGTCATAAGAATCGTTTTAGTTTTGATTGCACATGGATTGATTATGGAATATTTAATTCATGGTAAATTTGAATAATTTCTTTGTAAATTGTGAATGCAACTTTTTTATATATCTTAAAACTCTGGCCAGTATTTTCTTAGCTCTGTATTTGTGAAATTTAATTTTTATTTTGTAAAATAGCTTTCGATTTATAACCGCATTAAGATATAATTGACGGTGTTAACAATTAAAATTGTTTGCTTACCAATGATGACAAGGAAAAGTTGTCCTTAAACTGTAGCAACAACATTGAATATTCTCATTCCTGGATTAAACCGGCACCGATATTTCTTCTTTTGTGGTCAGTTGTAGCACAAAGCAGTGGGGTTTCATCCTACCTGGTTTCAGTTTACGAGTGCAGTCACATTCATCTTGACTTTATTTGACTTTCTCTGATCAATGGGCGTGGTGCCAGAAACTGGAACAAAAAGGCATGTTTTGTTATATCTGAGCCAGTTACTTGAAAAATGCAGCTCCAACACAGCAAAACAAAGTATGTAGCTTGAGCAGTTGCTATCACGTTACACAAATAAGCCTATTAGTTTAACACAAATTTAATCTCGAAGTAGTCGATGGCATCCCAGACATAGCGGTCTTCTCAATCACTACAGAGGTGGGGTTTAGATGGTTGAGTTGGCTCAGAACAGCTACATTATCATTAATTTGTACTTGGAGCCTGAGATTATGCCGAGGAAGCCACAATTATTTTAATAACATCCAAGAACATTATCAATACCGAAACTAGTTGACATTTACTGATAAACTGAATTTGGAAGCCAGAGAAGCATGTATGTAATGAAGGGAAAGAGTCAGAACAGCATTAACCTCTGCAAAAACGAAGACATAATTGAATGCTGAAAATTTGGACAGCTCAGCATTAGTTGAAATATGATCCTTGCAACCTTTTCTCTGCTTCGGCACAAAAGCTTTAAATACCTCTCATCACTCAGACCAAATTGGAACTGCCTGATGTTTTGTGCAGCATCAACATAAAAATGAAAAAAAAAAAAAAAAAAAAACAAAGAAGAAGAATACATGGCAGCATGCAAAGACTTAGAAAAAAATGCCTTCATAATTTGGCGTATAAATCAGTGTCTCTGTACATGTAATGTAATCAATTTTCTGCAGGGGCCTGATTTAGACAGCATTGTCTTTAAGCTTTAAGTGTTTTAGCTTTCAATAGTATAAGGTGTGTTTAGAATTAGAGTTCTCAAATAGTTTTTTTTTTTTTTTTTATCGACAATAAACCTTTTTTTAAGTAAATTACCATCGTGTCATGTGAAAATTGGTCTGTTTATATAGATGAAGTTCCCTGGCACCGAATAGTTGCTCCTCCTGCAAGAGTTTGCTGTGATATGAGGATACAAACCTCCATCCAGCTCCAACTGTGGAGTGTGGAATGCAATTAAAGAGTGAAAACAGACTAAAACACCATTAATCTCTCATTGTTTGCAGAAGAAAGTCAATAAGCAGAGTTTCCATCTAGAGTATAGCTGGCTATTTACAGACATGCTGCATTAAGACAATTTCAAAGTGGTTAAGCTCTGAAATAAATAACGGTTTCAAAACTCATGGCTTCATGTGAAGAAGTTTGCAATAATACTCAGATACTCAATAATTAAATGTCACGACATGTATTTGTTTTGGAAACGTGTGTGTTTTTAATCTTTTTAGGAAAAAAAAAAAACTTTACCTTGTTCACTGATATTTTCCCATGCATACACCCTTTTTTGACCCATTGCAAACCAGAAAACATAATTCCTTGCTATATCTGATGCTGTCCTGTCAGTTTATGCTATTTTAGCCATTATTTTAGTCATTATCACCAAGGTTGACTACACTCAGTTCCTGCCAGCCACTCACTGTGAAGCTACTTAATAACACTTGGTTTTCCAGAGAAGGACCAATCACTATTTGAGCTTTAATCGTTAGAATGTGTCCTTTGCAGTAATAATGACACCAAAAGACAAGATTTGTTCAAGGTTAACAAGGAGGATTAAGGGTTAACCAACTGACTTCCATGAACATCCCCTATAAATCAGCGCTCACTTAGAGTTTAAAAAAAAAGTTTAACAAATTGGTTTTTCACATGGTTTTTGAAATACATTTATGGATTCAGAGCTTTGCCAACAACGCCTTATTTTTACCAAGTAATTAAAGGTTGCATAGATTTGTAAAGTGTTTTTTACAAATTCCACACTGAAGTATTAAAGATGAGTAAGGTGTGACTTTTAAAAAAACATAACTACTCTGGACAGGTAGATGACAGTTTATTTGAGCAGCTTTATTTAATTTTGTCATTAAATTTAATATAAGACGGGTTTGGCTGTATGTTAGCTTTTTTGCTGTTGTGAGGAGCCCAGAAGTGGTCTTTACAATTTGAAATTGATTTATTTGTATCACTGAACAAAAATATTGACACACATGTATGCCTTTTCAGAAATGAAAAAAAAAAATAAATAAATTACTCATTTGTTCTTTTTGAGGTCAGGAACAATCACAACTACACATTAAAACTGACAAAGTATCTGTATTATTTAGATAATTAACATGTATCAAAAATTACAAACTGATGATAAAAGATCACTGGGTTTTGATTTGTGTCTTCTGTGATGAAATTGAAATTCTTATGTGCATGATCAGTAATTTCTCTTTCTCTTTCTCTTTGTTTCAGATCCAGTCCTCGGATAGAAAGCCACTTGCTGAGAGCCAAGAATTACAGATGAAGGATTCGGAAATAATCTTAAGTAGCAGGGTACCAGAGCACATCGGTCATTATTGACATCATATATCACTTTATCATAGTGTCCTTCACTACATGTCACAAAATGGTTTAACGTGAAGAAAAAAAAATGCAGTATGACCATAAAGTACTCTACAAGCTGTGTTATTAACATCGTGACTGCTGTCATTCAGGCACAATTTGTCTTCATTATCACAACAGGGTACTTTTATGTGCACATGACACTGGTGATGACTACACACATCTCAGTTTTATTTTTACTCAACAACTTCACCTCTGAATATGTATTGCTGTAAACCAATAATCAGTATTTTCCAGGTTTCTCTGTAAGAGTTTCTCCCTAATTTACGATAGTTTTACAAGACGAAATGAGATTATTGGCCGAATCAGATATATACTAACCTTGTGTGTGCACCTATTTGAACTAGTTTTTGTTTCACAGTGTCGCCATATATTTGGCCATGTTGGTGTTTGCACAGTTCCCTGCTGATATAGTTACAAGTGGTAGACCAGGATCTGGGTGGAGAACCATAAAAGACCCACACTAGAACATGCACACCACAACAAAGAAGGAAAAACAAAAAAAACATAAATTCCTAGTCCTCACTTCTCCCCTCATGTGTTCCTCTCACTTTTCTGGGGGAGGGGGGCTTTATATTTTCTATGTGTACATAAAGCAATTCAAAATCTATAGTTTTGTACATGTAATTTTTATGGTGTGTGGATATTTTCTAATAAAAGGAAACAAAATGAATTACTCCTGTGAGTGGCTGGTTTTTCCTGTTTTCCTTTAATCACTGTTTTTGTGTTTCAGTGTGTTATAGCCTAGTTTGGTACAATGGCATGCAAAGATATAATTACAGTGTTGTAAAACACTGGGTAATTGCTAGATGCAGCAACAGTTTACAAACAGTTAAGCAGCTATCGTATGAGGGGATTTCCCAAGTTGAAGAGAGTTGTATGGTTTTTCTACAGTGTTTGTGAGGTTAATGAATGTGTGACAAATAGAAGCTTTAGTCTGCAACTGTGGTTAAACTTGCTTTTATATTTCATGCTACCATCCTAAAACCAAATGAAAACATAGATTTTTAACATTGAAGTGATTGCCAAGAGTAGAGATATAAATAGATTAACTTGTTACAATGAACATAAGATAGCCGTTGTTGTCAATTTCATTGCAGAGTGCTTTTACATGGACATGCCGGTTAAACTGTAAAATAAAATAAAAAAATAAATAACGTCAATATTTAATATTGCAATATTCAATAAACACAAACTTAAACATAGATTTAGGAGCTAGGCTTGACTTGACTAACCGGTTATAAAGCAAATAACTTTTACTTTTGGAACACTTCGTAATATATAATAAGCATCGGCATTCAAATAGTGCAGCAAAAAAGAGCTAGCATTTGGCTAATTAGCTCTAGCAAACTCACCAAGCGCCCGCTTAGAAACTTATCTACCCACAGCAGCTTTAATATAATTCATCACGTTGGGCGACTTTCATGAACATCAGTAAGATATGATTTTATGGCAAGTTCAGGTGGTTAGTTTAAGCTAACGGCAACCTGAGCGCACTACTGGTCCGCCGTTAGTTTTCGTCCTCTCCACGTCAACTCACGTACCCATGCAAAGCAACTACAGAGCCCCCTAGTGGAATGGGAGTGAATCCAACATAACTGAAGGGGTAAGATAACTCACGCACCTTTTGCTATAAAACTGGTTAAACATCAAGAAAGTAAAAATATTTGTATAGAGTAGTTTTAAAACTCAGTAAATTAGTAAAATAATAATTCAGTTGACTTAGTGGAGGCTGGTTGCTTATTGACAGGTGAAGACAGGTAATTTATGAATTACATGTTGCAATGTATTACAATTTTAAAACAAGGACCACTAGTTTTTAATACTGGCAAATTGTTTACTCCATTCTTTAGAACATTTTAATGCCATTCTTCTGAGAGCAAGATTGACTACATACCTGAATAGTAAATACTACCATGTTAGCTAGCTACCCGGTGTGAACTGATGGTTCTACACTGACATTCCTGGAGGCTGTAGCAGTCTACATTTTTTGACAGGAACTGCTTCCTGAGAAAATTAGACTAGTTTATTACTTTTAAATTGCTCCATGCAGAACATCGCCACACAGCAGGGCTGAGAGTGGAGCTACCAGATGTCCTTCAGGTAGGTAAGATTGATCAGCCTTGTCTCTTTTTATCTGCAGGTTGTTAATGCCAGTTTTATTAGCACTGTGAGACGCATACTGGTGGTAAACTGTCATCTACTGCTGTGTGCGGTGCAGCCAAATTTCAAGTGGCTCGTAGGCAAAGAGATATGACTATTATACGAATAAAAATAAATGGATTAAGTCCAGATAGATGGCTGATTTTGACAAAAAGAATGCAAATCAAACTTAACAAAAAAGTTTATATTTGATTTGCTTTGAAAAGCAAAGTCAAATGAAATTTTGGGGACACATAGAATAGAATTTATTCACTTCCCATGAGGGGAATTCAAATATCCAACAAGAGAGGTAAAATACCCCAACCATGGGATATTTTGAAAAATGAAACGTGATGCGCCCACTATTTTGTAGTACTATTGTAGTAACAATAAAATGGCAATCAGGACTATTTAATACTTTTGTTCAGATAACTGTTTGTTTGAAACTAGCCCGAAAACACAAACACTGCTCTTGTAAAACATGCCATTTATATTATGCTTCTAGAGGAGGCCTCCAGTCATAAAGAAGTGTGATTTGTACCACTAAATTGAACAGAGTAGCTGCATTTAATCATGTTTTCAAATATATTTATATTTTTGTTGACATTATTATTGTACTAACAGTGAGGAAATTAGTAAAAGTAACAATCCCAGTCAGTGTTGGAGGACGGGGGGGGGGGGGGGGGGGTTTATTTGATGCAGAAAAAAAAAAATTTTAAACCTTAAAAAAAAACAAAAAAA